TCTCATGTTGTTGCAGATTTTCTATTTTTCCCAGTCCTGAAAAGCAAGAATTACAGTTATAATGATGTCTCCTCACCAAGAACATATCCTAAATTGTTTTGTTTCATTCACACATGTTTAACACACAAGTGTTCATATTTAGTTATTTCCTCAAATTGAAAGCACACTATTCCACATTGAGCTGCCATGTGGTACAACACAGGAAGTGCTCCACTGTGATTTCAGACCTGGATTTGCCCATCTCTACTAAACCAAAAGGTAAAGGGTAGCTGTTAACTTGAAAAATACTGCTTCATGACATCACAAGATGGAACAGAGCATTTTGAGCTTGGAGATGTAGGCAGATGTAACAGTTACTCAAACAAGTGTGAATAAAACAAAACAGAAACACCAGATTAAAACATGGCCCCCTAATATAGGACATTTTACAACAAAAAAAAAAGGAAAAAAAGAAAACGGGAAAATAGAAATATACTCACCTCCACATTCCTCAATGATCTCGGCGATGGTGCTGGCTGCGTCTCCAGCCATAATGAGGATATTCTTGAGGCCGTCCAGTACGACCTGCACCACCTGGGAGTCTTTCACTGACAGCAGGTTGCAAAAGGGAGGGATGACATCCTGATCCACCAAATACTCCACCTACACGAACCCACACATGCACCACATTCATACTTATTTACAACACAGGTACATGGTTATAAGCATAGGGACATTTGCATTCCTTTATAAAAAAAGTTAATAACAAAAGCAGCTAAATAAAGCATAAAGGAATAGTGTGTAATAAATAGTCTCACCTGCTCTTTCCGGCCACTGATTGTAAGGTTGCTGATGGCCCATGCTGCCTCTTTTTGGGTGCCAAAGTCTCCCTGTTGAGATACAAGCTGTTACTACAAATATTTCCAATACCAAAAACAATTCCAAGATATTTTTACTTTATATGTACACCAGCTGAAATGTATCTAATAAAAACAACTTGCAAGTACATACATGGAACTACAGACAGTTTAGTAGACACGATTATGCACAAACCTTGGCCAGTTGCTCAATAATCATGGGAATTAGGCCAGCATCAATAACAGCTTGAACCTGCTGCTGATTACCGGCTGTAATGTTGGAGAGGAACCAGACTGCCTCCTACAAAACACAAATATGATTTAGAAATCTCCTAATACTCCGTTTAGATATTTTCATTCTACACTGCATGATAATTAAAACCAAACAGCATTTTTCAAAGCATGTCTTAATTATACAACAGCTTTACCTTATTAATTTTTTCTTTTGGGTGTGTGAGCAGTTTAGGGAAGTGTGAGAGGACATCGTAGTTGAGCACAACCTGTGTCTGCTCGTCTGTGCCGGTGACAATGTTTCCAACTGCCCTCAAAGCTGCAGTCTGCAACAAACAAGTAAGTTAACAATGCCAGCATGAACAGAGTTACATTATTACACATCGTTTTGCACAATTACCTGAACTTTGACCTCTTTGTTACTGAGAAGAGGCACAAGAAATTGAACAACACCCGAATCTATGACCATCTGGATCTGCTCATTGCCACCATCCGTCAGATAGGAAAGAGCCCACACTGTGTCAACTAAGATCTAAAACAAAGATTTATTCATAAAATGTTAAGTAAATTGTATAAGGTCCATTCTAGTAAGTCACCCATCCACTCCTAACTTGATACTTACATTAATATCTGTATGGTATATCAGCTCACAAAGAGCAGGCAAAATCTGGAGAGAGAGTAGAAGATTTAAGATATTAAAAAAAATATAAAAATAAAAAAATCAAATCAAAGACAACATAAAATCCACAACCAACTGATTTTCTCTCACCTGCTGAACTGTTTCCATGGGTGGTGGTGGGTCCTTGTTTCGGCACAGATTAACAATAACCCAAGTAACGTTTCGGAGAAAAGTAATTGGGATTGATGGATTGATGAATTCAAGCAAAGGCTTGACAACCCCCAGAGAAATGACATAGTCCCTGCATTTGGGACCATCACCTGCAGATGGTAAAGCTCAAGTCAGGAACACTACTCCTAAAAACAGTGATTTAATGCATATGACTTAAACATTACCGATTATGTTTCCTAAAGCCCAAACAGCCTGTTCACATACGTTCTGATGAGGAGAGTGGAGTAATCGCAGGAAGGGTGGAACCGCATCTGAAAATGAAGCAGTCACATTTAGGCACAGGTACAAATAGGATAAATTCATTGCTCATTCATACTAAAAGGCCCTTGTGTTACACCTGTGCAGGTTCTGGACTGGACAAAAATCACCACATACAATACAATATAGAAATACAAGAATTATGGTGCATTTCTTTATGATTAATACTTACTAGCTTTAACCACATCTTGAGTCTGCGACGATGTCCCAGAAGCAATGTTAGTCAGGGCCCAAGCTGCCTCAAACTGAAGAGATGGACTGGGGGAAAAAAAAAAGCACATACAAATTTGAAGAATAAGTAGTTCAAGATAAAGAAGTATGCATCTTCAAGGAGATGAGCAGGTGGTGGGCCCTCCACCACAAAAGTTACATAGTGCATCTTTAAAACAACATCTGACACATTGAGGACAAACTGTTTCTACATCACATCAATACTGGCTCAGATCCAGAAACTCCCTAAGAGTAATGCAAAAAATAGTTCAACTCTGAATGTAATACCACTAAAAATAATGACTTACTTGTCATCGTCTTCCAGGCATTTCACTAAAATAGGCAAGATACCAGACTTTATCAAGTCATCAATGGGGGGATTTCTGTCACTTGAGAGCAGCTTCCTATAATTAAAAAAAAAAAAAAAAAGAGTAAAGCATGTTTGGATCTTGGGCAGTACAAGTACAAGCTATTTTGTTACAATTACAGACTTACCTGGCTGCCTGCACAGCACTGAGTTGGATGACTGGATTGGCACTTTTGGCATTCTGTAGCAACAATGACAATCAAGAGTCAAACAAAAAAGTTCCATAAGAAAGACAATAAGGGTCCGCAGGGGCAGGTCACCATTTATTACTGGAATCCAAGCATCTGTGCTTACCATGTGTACAATCAAATTCATTGAATATATGAATAGAAATATGAATGTTCAGATGGACCTCGGCCTGCTCAGATGCAGAGCGCATATTATGTGTACGCAGCCACATGGACTTTTGAGTGGGTCCATAAACAGCTGACAATGAAGCATGCAGCATGTTACGATCTGTATGCTAAACCACACGCTTTTGTTTCACTTTTCCTTATTTATGTTGCACATTAGATCATGGCCAGATCACGACAATCTCAGCGCTTATATATTCAAATGTGTGAAGAAGCCATGCCAACATCATCCCCCATTCTCCACCACAAACTTTACTGATGTGTATACTGCAAATGAACAGCGAGCCAAGGAGAGCACCCGAGTGATGCAGTTTGTGAAGGGCTTACAAAGGCAAATATAAATTTTCAAGTCAGGGAACATTATCTGTGCATAATTTTTTGTTATGGCAGTGCACCTCTCCATGTGGTATAGGAATGAGAAAGAGTATTAAGACAATGTTGTTTTGCCTATTGTAGCAACCCTTTCCTCTTTCAGTCACAGATCTTGCAAGCTGATGCCAGGTTACAGATTAAAGCTAGAACGTGTAAACATTTACATCACAGTATAACGTCATGGTTTATAGCGGTTGTGGATGTGTGCTAGAGCAGGTTGTAAAAATATATGCAGCGGTGCAGGGTTTGCCACGTCAGATAATCACTGAAATGTGAGACACTTTGCTTGGGAAAAACACCTAACAAATGTCACAAGCTCATATATCATGAAAAATACACACAAAAATATGAAGTCTTACCTGTAAGATGGCCTCAAGTGTTAGATTTTGCTGCAAAAAAACACAAATATTCAGTCATTATCTGTAGTATTGATTCACTTTTTTTTGAAGTGATAGGTCCTGTTGTGACATGTTGAAGAAAATCTACAGTAAATCTAAAAATGACTCAAATAAATTCCATGTGAGCTCAAACATAGTTCTGAGTTGAATGTATGAGTACATCATTTTAATTTTGGTCTACTCCTATAGCCAACACTGGTACTGTTGCCCCCGTTAAGACACTTACCCCTAACCCTTTGAAGTCTGAGTCCACATCCGAGTCTTCCAAACTTTCCTCAGCTGGAACATTTCTTTTTTTCAGTAGATGTTCATCTCGTTTGATCTAACAATCACAAATGCAAGTTAATGAAAGTTATTGCTTTGATGAACACAAGTGGTTACTACTTAAAAAAAAAAAAAAGTCTTGTTTATATAAAGTTGCATATTTTGCACCAATGCTCGCTCATAAAACAAACTATTACTTTAAACTTGAGCCTCTTTGTATTTTAGACTGCAGCACATCCCATCATCCCATCGCTCAGTGAAGTTGTGAGTCAGTGGTAGGAGGAGATTCCCTTGCCCTACATTCCAGTGCTTCATGCTGCTGTGCGTCACTAGTGACTAATCATGTAGTGCAGAGCTGCTCTCATTTGGATAACGGGAATGTGCTAGACTTTAGACACCTCAGCAATTCACTGCATTGACTTGCTATGACCTGAACGACAGCTCCATGTATGATCACAACTGTTTTTACTAGTTCATGCACAATTGAAATTACAAATTTGTTGATTGGCATAACTGGTGTATATCACATTGTGTAAGCAATTGAGCAGACTAAAAAATGTAGTTTTGCAGAGCTCTCACCTTTCGCAGCTCTACAGTCACTTCATTTCGATGTCTTCGCATTGTCTGAAACAAAATATAAAAAACAAGGAATCAGTAAAATTCTCAGTGGCCAGTTAATTTAAAATTAATACATTTGCACTGTGTTTACAGTTTTAACTTGGACTATGTACATAAATATGTAATCTTTTATTTATTTGCATATCTTGAAACAAATATAATTTTTAAAAACAACAAGAAACATAATTAGTTGGGCAAGTACAACTGGATATTGAGACTTACCAGTGAAAATTCAAAGAGCCTCAAATTGCCTTCCTAAATAGCTCCTTACATAATAACGGCCACTGGTCATACTAAGACCACTGCAAAACATTACCAACTAGAAGCAGCTGGACCTGTACCATTCAAACCGTGTTTATTTGCACATTTTATCACTAGCAATAAACATGGCAACTCTAATACTAAGCCAAGTTGTCATATATACACTATGGCAAAACCAGCTGAGCTACAGGCAACCCCAAATGATATGCAGAAAACAAAAGGAGATTATGATCAGCTTCATGTGAGCCTCTGCTGCTTTGCGATTCAAAGCTGCCCCTAATGATGTCTCAAATCAAAGGCAATCTGTTATGACTGACCTACATAAGTAAAATCCAAACTGGCATTTTGTTCTGCTGTGGTCTGAGTCATCCATTTATAAAAACTCAGGCAGTGGCTCTAAAGAGGATCCAGGTCAGACATACAAGATGCCTGAAATAGCATCAAGAATGCACTTGGCAAAATCTGCTTGCCATAGTAGCCATGTGCTTTTACACTGACACCAAGTTTCAAAACAACATCAGGTTCGGTTTGTGCTCACAGATTGTCGCCATGAATATCTCATCAGAGAAAGAAACAATCCATCAATATTGATCTGAAATAGAATTTAGGGTGACATTTTTGGCAGGCCGCTCTGAGCACTAAAAATGCTTAAAACTCACACAGCACATAGTTGTATTTTCATTTACATATTACGATACCAGACATTTAAATGTATATATTTTAGTTTTAATTTAAACATATACCTTTGGTGGGGCATATCCTTTATAAATTAAGGCCCTAGAACTAACAATACGGTTAAATGTCAACCTATAGCTGACAATGCTAACAGTTAAGGAGGGGCAAGACAAGTTTGGAGCAAATAAAACAAATTTATTGGCGCGATCCAATAATGTAGCGACAGGTTAATATTCAAAAAGTTGATGCTTAACTATTACTATCAGAGATGAGTCATAAAAGCAGTAAACGTAAAGATACTGTTGCCGGGTCAGGCCCTGCCTCGCTAAACCTGGTGCATAACCTGAATCCTAGCATGCTAGGCATGGGAAGGCTAAATAGTAGTGACTGAGCCATTTCATCTTGCATATAGGCAAAGATAAGTGCGACTGCACCAACATCTTGGTATACGTAATTTAAACCAACTTTTGACCTCGATTTTCAAGCGATAATCAAACAAAATACTATCTAGTGCTGAAAATATGTACTGATTACAAGCTAGCTTAAATCAAGGATGGCGAACTATTGCTAGCTAGCTAGCTGTGGTAGCCGGGCCAGGCTAAACAACGAGGCCTAAAGTGTGCAGTTTTGTACACATTAATGTCGTCCCATGTTAATGACACCTGTATTTACTCTTAAACATACCTCAACATCTCGTCCCTTGTTTTTAAAGCTCTTGATGCGGTGGTTTTCTAAGCCGTTGTTTTCTGCCATAGCTGTATGAGGTTTAGCGCTTCCTCCGGCTTTGGGGATCTCCTCTCCGTGAAAGACGAGGCACGGCTCCTGCGCTGCTCCACAGGAGGAGGCGGCGGCGGTGGGGAGGAGCGGAGCGAGGGGCGGGCTCACCTCCGCACGGGATGCCCTTCTTTACAGCAGCACAGCGTCAAAGCGAGATCACACTGCTTTTCTTTCTTTCTTTTTCTTAACTTTAAAAACAACTTGACATCAGAGCAGCATTAAACAAGAATAGACAATGTGCGAATGCTTTATTTAACCCAGCAATATTTGGTTTTGCTTGTATACTGACATTAGTGCAATGAAAAACACACATTTGAAACAGTTGTTAAAATATGATACATTAGAGAATGTTATGCCATTCAGAAGATTAATTGTTAAAAAATGTTACATGTAATCAACACATTTTTCTCTGAAATAAAGATTACATATTGTCACTTAATAAGGCAAAGTATACAGTATTTGTCTGCAATAATTTGTATAATGTAAGCAGGAAATCACAGCAATAAAATTTTATCCAACAGATATAAATAAATAAACATGACATAAATATGTAACGATGCAATTTTGTCATGAAAAAAACACATGGCTTCTGTTCAGACAATTTTTGTTACCACTGCAATTAGGCTTTCCTGAAATTTTACATGAATTAACAAACTGCAACTAATTATAAATAAAAGTGCACAACTTTCCCAGCAGGCCAATGAAAAACATCTGGTAATAGGTTTAAAAGAATCACTGTCATTTGAATTTGGTGTCCAAGTGAGTAGTGTGAGGATGTTCTTTATGAAGAAGACACCCAGAAAAGCAGCAATTTAAAGATACAACATGGGGTAAGAGAAGCCACTGGAGTCACATAAGATTTGATCAATGTTTTGATTTGACCATCAATATCAAACGTTCATCGAGGTTTCTTTATGATATGGACAAAACATTTAAAGCGTTATAGTAGAGTTTTCAGAAAATCTGTTGTTCAAATAGGATCTTCTCAAATCCTTGTGGTGGTGTATGATAGAAGTCACTAAACTGGCAATCCAAGATGGCACTGTCATCCACTGTAATTAAAAAAATAAATACATGAAAACAGAATAGAAGTTAGGGCATTTATACATTTACTAAGCAAGTATGCAGCAAAGGAAAGGAAATACTGCCCTCTATCGAGTTTAAAAGGTTAATATCCATTAGTGAGACACACACACTGTAGATGTTTAAAATTACTGAAAACCTTACCATAAACGACAGGATATACAGTGCCTCGGATGCCTGAAGAAGGGCACTGCATGTTCTTTCCATTCAGATATAAATTCAATTCCACATGGTCATATGTGACTCCCTATGGACAGAAACAAAACTGAGCTTTGTGGATTTGATTGACAAAGTCTGCAATCTGCATTAGAGCCTTACAATAAGACAATAAAATATGATAATTCTCATAATATATCAAGGGGTATTATTCTAATCAATGCCACCGCTTTGTATTATATTTTCTAACACAGATAGTGTAGAACTTGAAGGTATATTATGTGCAATTGCAGCAGTCCTGGCTTGTAAGAGTTGAACTGAAATTTCATCTGTTTAAAATAACTTCCAATTAAGTTAAGCATGGACAGTACAAAAGGGCAATTTGATGTGACACACAAAGGTTCGCAAGTATTTTGGTTTATTTAGTTGAACAAGAATTTAACTTACCACAATGTCACCCTCTTGTGGAATACTGTTTGCAGGCAGTCTGTTTTTCTCTTCGTTATTGTGGTATACAGAGCCGTCATGCCTCAAGACTAAGCTGTTAATGTCTCTGCCTAAAGGCACTTGGTTAAGATTTACCTTTTGAGTAGCCACACCAATTCCCCACACACCTGAACATATTGAAAAGTATAGCATTACAATTACATCTTATTTCTTATTCCTCTATTTTAAACATCATGTAAAAAGTTCAGAGTGGCACTTGGCCATTACCTGTGGATTGAATCTTGAACTCGAAGTAACTCTTATTTTGGTGCAAAGGGGCATTGGCCAAACACCCTCCAGTGCCACATATCCTCCGACCACTTTTGACAATAACCACATCTGTGCCTGTTAAAACAAATGTTTAATATAGTAAGGACATTAACTCTCTGATAATTATCTAGTTGATAAACATGGTATTCTTGTAATAGTTTAAAAAGTAATACTTCAGTCTTCTCTCAAATGTTTGGGGTTGTTTAGTTTATAATCTGCACTTCTTACCCCAAACCGTGCAACCATATATGATCATTCACACTGTGAATCAATTCAGCAGAGCTAATTACACTTGTGTACACACCGTGAAAGAATGGAGTGATTCTTAACCTAGTGCTTTGTGTTAGCAATGGCACAAACATTATATTCACACCTTATAATACATACAAACGTACAATGCAAATGAAGTCATATGAGATTAGTTTCCCGATCAAATTTATTCAGTCATTCTGTTGAGTAACAGAATTAGCTCGACAGCCACTAGCAAATGCTAACAGCGGAAGTAGCAAATAGTCGATGTCCATGACAAGAACCAGTCAAGGGCCAAATATATAAGTATCTTACCCATGTGATGAGTGTCTAACTGAACCGTGGGCATTTCTTTTAGGGGAATATGCCCCGAACCAGCATCGCCGCAACAGCCCAGACAGCACGTAAACATCGCAGCCATCACGGATCACACGCAAATGCGCTCGCTCTGTGAACCAAAAGACAGCAGCACTTTGACTCGATACTACTACAGTGACACCTTGTGGATTAACCTAGCGCGCCTAAGCTGCTGCTGCCTCACTATATCCAATCACAGCGGCTAAGACAGGCAGTGCTCCTGATGGCATGGAAACAAGGGAAGAAAATCAAGGTCAAAATTTTACACGTGACTTGGTAACTATTGGACATCAGTGTTAGATAACAACTGATGACTCAAGTTTATTCTGGAGAGAGGAACAGCCATGGGAAGTATCATAATTTCTTTAATAAATAATAAGAATAATAAATACTAATTTCCTGTCCATCATGTGTGAGCGTGATGCAGGTTCGGAGGACATGTGATGTGATGAATTAAGTAATATTTGGAGTGTGTGTTGCATAGGGTCTGTATAATTAAAAATAAAGTATCTTACCAAGTAATAGTTACTTAATAGTGTAGCAGACACTCAGTGATGCCAAACCCGGTTCAAAGCCTATAGTTGACAGTTTTTCACGCTGTAATGTTTTGCATAGCAACAGCCCCTCCCCCATCTCACTGGTAGGGATCATCAGTCAATGTACAGCAAAAGACAAAACGTAAAAACAACATATCTTCACACGCTCCACACCAAATACCACCAAAACACAAACGTACACGTGCTTACCACAGGCTGTCTTTAGAAGTGTTAAGATATTAAAAGATATGCTGCTTTCAAATGCCTTTAGAGAGAGTCAAAGGGTTAACTCTGTACCCGGAAAAGGATGAAGTCTGCACAGCAACAAGCGCCATTATTGCGTTGCACAGCGCGTCTCAGCAGCTGGTGAGTGATTCTTTTGGTCCAGTACTTTGCATGTTTCTATGGGTTTGCAAAATCTGACATAACGCTCCGTCGGTGCCTTCTAGCTGCAAGACGGCAAAAGTGAGCTCTGGCTATCCTTAACGAACCCAGTTTCTTCATCGGACGATGGGAATCCGAGTCTCCACTCAGTCAGTTTAGCACCATTAAGTATTTTTCTATGCAGAGCAGAAATATGCTGCTTTGGAGTGTACAGTATTAGAAACAACAGCGATTATTGGCTCTCTGGTTTACGACGCACCTTTGAGTTTGAACCAAGAACTGCTGGACACAGGGAGAGAAAAGATGTTTGTCGCTGAAGCTTACAACGTGGATGACCGTGGCAGCAATGCCAACATTTTGGCGCTCACCCCCTTACGTGGGCACAGTGAGACGGTTCAGTTGCATTCCCAGGACTGGGAGACTTGAATCACTGGAAACGAGTTAATTATTTGTATCCTTTGAGATGTTTCTCTTTTGAGTATAAAACCATTTGCTGCCTTTACGTGGCAGTAAGCTTCGGGGGTGGGTTTTGATATTGAAGTTTAACTGATAATGTTATGAAGTGGATATTTGACGCGTTGGTGGTATGTTTGCAGGGCGCAATGGAGCAGTTGGAGGAGGAACTTACGTGCCCGATCTGCTGCTGTCTGTTTGAAGACCCACGGGTGCTCCTGTGTTCTCACAGCTTTTGCAAGAAATGCCTGGAGGGGTTGTTGGAGGGAAACCGAGGTCTTGCATTCAGGACACCTTTGAAATGTCCTACCTGTCGCAAAGAAACACCCCACAACGGTGCAAACAGCCTCCAAATTAACTACTCTTTGCGCGGAATCGTGGACAAGTACAGCAAGATCAGACTCTTCCCTAAAATGTCAGTTTGTAAACAGCACTGTGGACAACCACTTAACATTTTCTGTGCTACGGACCTAAAACTCATCTGTGGCTTTTGTGCAACGACCGACGAGCACAGGGGGCACAGGTTCAGTTCTTTGGAAGACGCGTTTAAGCGCGAGAAGGAATCGTTTGAGGAGCTGCAGCGCGGGGTGGAGAGCTGGCAGAGCGCAGACATCCTGTCCTGTCTGGAGACTCTGCAGGCAGGGAAGAAGAAGGCACTCCAATCCGTGAGCAGAGACGCAGAGAAAGTGACCGATTACTTTGACAAACTGATTAGCACCATCGAATGTAAAAAGAACGAGATCCTTTCTGACTTGGAGACACTGAAGTTGGTGGTGATGCAAGCGTATGATCCGGACATCACGAGGCTGAGTGCGGCTCTGGAGGAGCAGGAGCGTGCTCTGAGCATGGCAGAATCTTTCAAGAGCATCACGGACCCCCTGTGCTTCCTACAGCAGATGCAGGAATTTCGTGCTAAATTCAGGGTCCTTAGGGAAACCCCACTTCCCAGCTGTAACGATATGGACATTGGACCACTCGTGCGTAATTTCGATGTGAAAAAGTGGGATTCACTAAGGCTCAAAGAGGTGGACAAAATAAGCGTGCCTCACGAGAAAGTCTCCTATAGGTCTGGCTGCACGCGGGTAACAGCTCCCAGGTTGATGGCTTTATTTCTGCGGCTGTCATTGGCAGTGGTCCTACTTCTGTCCACGCACACCCTCGCAGCATCTGCACAGCTCCGCTTTGAACCGCTGCTCAGTGCTGTCACATCCCACTTCTCTCAGAGCGCCGTGTTTCTGTGCGACCTGGTCTCATCATCCACAAGTTTACTAAGTGTAGGCCAGCAATACCTCATAAACATAATGGACTCCACAGTAAAATTCTTCAGCTTTTACTATTAGACACGCATGAACATAGACTTAAGTTATTGTGGAAATCATCAGCTTTTTAAAATGCTCTTGTAGTACAAGTTCGTTAAATGCAGTTTCTTGCTCATATTTAGTTCCATAGGTTTTATAGATTCTCTTTCTTTTGATATGGCATTTTTATATCACCAAAAAGAATAATTAAATAAATTTGACAAGCAGTAGAACAAAATTGCGTGATTTCTATGTTTTCTGCCTATATAAGACTCGCTTGTTGCGCACTGGCCTTTCAGGGTGCGCGGGGTGGCATAGTGATGCTGGCATGCTGTACACTTGCGAGTTGCATAACAAGCGCTTGCCTCGCCATACAACAAGTGAAGATAAAGCTAGGAAAGAAATTAATCATGATAAACATGGAGGGTGGTCTGTATATATATACATTTTCATTTAGGCTATTGAAATTTAGGATAAACACATAAGTCTCAGAAAGGCGCATTTGGGCATTTTAAGTTATTGCCATATATCTCCTGGGATAGTCTTCCTAGAAGGCGTAAAATTCACACTTCATTCAGATATTAACAGTTTTGGCTACTCACTTAAGCTTTCATTCAGTACCAGAGAAATTTGAACATTTCACCAAGTCATCTCAGGTTCTGCGTCACATCACACATATATGGCTGTCTGTTGTGAAAATAATGTCAAGTGCCTCTACATAAATAGTTACAGTTGAAACAGCCGAAAAAAATTTGTTTAAAGGTTTAAGAAACACCGCATTAAGACTACTGCAAGTTTTATAACAAGATGCGCAAACTCAGGACTACCTACTTCGAGCTCCATTAGGCCTAGTCCACTTAAGGAAGGCCAGTTTACTCGTTGCACAAAAGGAATTGACGTAATATTCCCATGAGATCAAAATTAATCAGAAATATGATTAATGTTGCGCAATGACTAGATCTCTGCTTGAAATAAAACCATATATAGGCCTTTTTTTTTTTTAATGCGCACACACCATGGATATAGGCGATAGCTAGTTTTAGGTGAAATGTGCAATTCAAGCGCCATGAGCTTTTTTTTTTTTTTTTTTTTGTGAAAATACGTAGCAGGGAGTACAAGACGACTAAGCAATTATATAGATTTTTTTTTTTATTTACAAAAAGCAAATGCATAATGCTTAGATGCTGTGGCGCATCTGTAGCCTAATTCCTAATGGGGGGATAAGGCCTGTGCCTGTATCCAGGATCAGGATTGCGTAAAGAGTCAATTCCATGAGCAAAGCAAAGACAAAGTATATTTAAGATGTGTGGCTTTTGTTAAAGCAACCTGATTGACCATACGTTATCCTAAATAAAGGCGGTCCTTTGGTGGAAAAATAACTAGGAAAGATTAATGTTCGACTTACTGAATGCAAAACTTCGACGAAAAGAAAAAGTGCAAATTTTGGACAATTAAACATTAATTCCAGCAGAAAAACAAGCTAACAGAAATGCTGTAAATTCCTTTCTATGTATCCGCATAGATTTTGGATTTCGAAAAGGCCGAAAGGCCGAGGACGGAGGAGTGTACAGCAACGCCCCTGTAAACCAAAGAGCTCAAGTGAGCATCAAAATCAGTACGGCCAAAGCTAAAAGATAACACATTTACAGTAAATCTTTTTGTGTGGATTTAATAAAGTAAATACATAGTAGTACATGTGTATTTTATGTTTCCCTTAGAAGTCAAATGTCCCCATCCCACCAAAAACAAACCAAAAAAAAAAGATCTGTGGTCACTTTGGTAGTTTTTATTATTAAAACATGACAAGAATTTTGAAAGCACATTAGTACTTGAACATGTCAATGATTAAAATATTTTCAAATAATTCCATAGGTGAATACATCAAAAGTTAATTTTCCAACTCAGTCCAGATTCAAAACATTTTATTTAATGTGACATTAACAGACTCATTCAGTAGATGGGCCGGACAGTGGGCAGGGGTCAGCTGTTCTCCAGCAGCACGGGGAATACTGGAGGCTGACCTCAATGTTACTCCAATATTTACGTGCTGCTACAGTAAGGCCGCCAGCTTCTTCAGCACAAACAGGTGTTAGACATGTGACGTGTGCAAAGAGGGGAGCTCCTGCTCTGCTGCTGCAGCATGGCATGGCCTGCATCTCAGTGTATCCCACAAACCATTCCGTGCTGCTACAGCATCACAGGACACAATGGTGTAGACTCTGATCAGATGTGTGCCCCGGACGACCTCCATCTTCCCTCATACAGGTTCTCCATCTGAAAATAAAAAGCAAAATTGAAAACATTATCAACTGGTAGTAATGTTTGAAATATTTATTAGGTAAATGTTCTGTAACATTTTTTTTTTTAAATCCACTGTTGTCCAAATAATCAGTGAAACAATGTGGTGTAAAAATGGTACCAAAAGCACATGTAAAAAGTAGGGATAAAAAATGCACAAAAGGAGCTTTTCCAGAAGCTCATAGTTGCTTACAACCTCACGCCAAACCAAAATCTACTTACGTAGTGAATAACTCGACACAAAGTCTGAATTTAATATAATGCATATATTCTAGAATTTCCAAAGAATAGACTAGAATAGAATAGAAAAATTTAAATAACAATGTACAACAAACAGAACATAGTTGTTATAATGTCAAATATGGGCATGCCACAAAAACGAAGTGCAAAATATTGCTATAGAAAACACTGCACTGATGATGGCACCAATAGTGACACAATAACCCTAAAGTATGAAATGATCATTATAGGCCTAGTCAAATACAAAATTTATCACTAATAATTAGATTACACAGGAGGAAAAGGAACCATAAAGACACTGACACTAAGTATCGTTACTTACAAGTAAGGAGTGCAAAGGCAAATAAGTACACTTTCTTCCTGAAAAAAAAAAAAAAAAAAAAAAATTATATAAAAAAAAAACATCCCTCAAGTTAAAACAGTTTCTAATTCAAACACAATCACTCACTACCGCATTTTGATAACAGTATTTAAAATGTACAAAACAGAATTATTGTATGAAAGTGTGTGAGCATTATTTACAAGCAATTCTCATATTATAATGAGAACAAAAATTATAGTTATTATGTTAATCACATAGACTTGACCAAAAATTCACAATGCATTGTTGTTATGGCCAGATCCAACAATGAAACCAGATTTGTAGCCTGCAAACTCTTCCACAACTGTGCAGCCACTAGAGGTCTCAATGGACCCACATTATGACCTTGGTCAGAAATGGACATCTTTAGAGTCATTTTCACAACAGTCACAACCACATAAAACGTGTTATGAGCAAACTAATCATATAAGAATTCTGAGACATTTTTGGTACAATGACAATTAATGCTATGTTGCAAACAACACATAAAAAATAAAACAAAAGTTAATAGTACATATACATAAATGTAAAGTGTAAAAGTGTGTAAAAAGTGGGTAACTTGTGTATGTGATGTAAAGTTGAGCTGTATGTAATAAAAACAGGCTCTGGCTGCACAGGCACAACAACACACCTGAGAGGGACCAACAGCAGCTTCTGCAAAATCCACCAGCACACTCAAATCATTTACATTTTACACCTGCTACTTTACAGGACCTCCCCATTGCTTTGACTCACTTAAACCATTCAAACGATCAGGAACAGGACACCACAATTTACTAATCATTATTTATGAATTAAACATTTGTAACAAATAACTTAAATCATAAAATCATAACAAAAACACAACATTGTGAAGCTTATTTAAGAATATGACAACAGTGAATTGGAGCCTTACAGTTTTAACAAATAAAAAACTTGGGAAGTCCATCTTTTGTAACATTGGCAGTGTGAGACAGTGCTAATAAGGTAACATGTCTATGAACATTGCTATCCATTCGCGTTTCACATCAGTGTGTCTGTCTAACCTATCCCATTTTGTGTCTCCTTTAGGGCAGCATGTCCAGACATGTCACCTTCCCTGTGCAGCCTTTAACCCCTTCTTCTGACATGTGCTCCAGCTCCATTAGTCCGCAAGAGTCACCTGACCCCTGGGTCGAAGGTCAAGTGCCCCTCAACATGAAGCACAAGGACGGGACACTGTGCCAGTCACAGCCTCAGACTAAGGCTGAAGCTAGTTTGTTACACTGATCAGAGGTGGATGCATGAATCACATGCAAAAACATGCATCTGGAGGTTTTCAACTTAGATATTGAGAAAAATACAAAAGTCACTTCATAATCTTCTGCAAAAAATACAAATTATTTTTTTTCTCCAATAATAAACTCTTCAAGTTGTCAGGGCTTCTTCAAAGCTCAATTTAATTTGTTTTAGCAGATTTTAAAGAAAATAATAAATTGTATCCAGTAGTGTAAAAAGACAGTGTGGCCTTTGAGACAACCATAACATTGCAGAAAAATACAATACAAAATAAATTTTAAAACTTAAAATTCTGATATTAAGTGTTACATGTACTAGTTTAATTGTAGCTGTTAATTTATTTGTTTCAAGCTTTCCCTCGGGGTCTAATACAGAAAAAACAGGGAGAAAACCAAGTACTACTTCCACTTCATGTTGACATTATTACACAAGGACAGTAAGAGTAATATACCAGTGGATATTACAAGAATGTCTTTGCGGCTCAAACTACTTTGTTCCAAACAAATGTTGAGTGTGAAGGGTTAAGATGGACTGTGGCCGTGCGGCTCCCGGTGCTCCTCTGACACAGGGAAAAAGAGGAAGAAGAAGCAGAGCTGCTGTGGCACACCCACACTCAGGCTGTGGAGGGTCTCTGTCCCTCGTCTACAGAAGATGTGGGATTTACAAAAACAACACCATCACTCCAAGTGGGAATGAGAGCTCTCGACTTGTTTCACATGCAAGTTTGGCAGCCATGATCACACTGATTGAATATATTCATATAAAATAAGATTTTTTTTTAATTATATATAAAATTATCATTTATATATTGATACAAGTACAACAGTCTGTAATAATAACTATTAAAAATTTATGATGAAATGTAAAGATGATTTTCAAATAAATACTTGCTAATAATTGAGTCAGTACATATTACTTTTTGAAACTGAGATGTTTACACAAGGTTATATACTGCAGTGATGCTTCAGACTGTATAATGCTCTGTTCTATTTGTAGTGTGATAATGAAAATTCTAAATAATTATTCTTTATCCAGACATCCCACGAGAAAAGGACAAAGTGTGAACTAAATGCTCAGGACGTCCTGTCACACACCTCCAAAAGTCACCACAACCATCATGTTAACACTATCAGCTGAAACCATTTTATTCTAAAAATATTTTTAAAAATTATAGACATGTATAATGAAAATAAGCACACTCCAAGGACCTTACTTATGATGAAAATAATTATAAAACATACTAAGACTTGACAAGGGCACAAAATACACACATCTGTACATCAGAGAAATCAGCTGTTCACACGTACAGATTGCGAAGCCCCCAAACAAACAGACACCATATATTTATAAACAAACATGTCCATGTGTATTGTTCAACATGTATTCACATTTGTACAGTGATAACTGTCTTTCATACAAAATCACTCTTAAACCTATGCACCATGTATGCACACCTGAGGCATGCATGCTCTGACCTGCTGCAACTGAAAAATTCACCTAAAAAATATGCAACAACAATCATCAAACACTTTATTATTTAAGCAATTCCTAAAAAATTTTTTTTAAAGTCTTGCTTTAAGTTTAACTTTTTCAACATGGTGTGTATGAGAAACAGGCTGTTACAAAAACCATACAGCTTCCATTGAATGCTCTGACCCACAAAACTTCAACCAAGACTAATTGCTGGAAAATGACCAAGACGACCCATGAAAACCTGTGCCCGTCAAAGCAAATTTGAATACTCTGAAGTTTGTGCTGAGTGCTGCAGAAAAGAGGAAGAGGAGTGGGGGTTCTGTGCAGTCTGGCTACAGCACATGTACAAGAAGAGCCTCCGTTTCACCAGGAAATGGGGGTGGGAGCCCATTTCGCTGGAGGGGTCCAAGAGACAGAATGATGAGTCACAGAATGTCAAGCTAACGGTCTGAAGCAGTACACTGGCCCAGAGAGAGACCAGGCCAGCACACATGTGGACCTGTAGCATCTGATACTACAGTTATGAACACTACGGTGACCAGACACGTTTTTCTACATGTACATTTGTGCTTCACACATTTGATTAGTACACAACGTGTGCCATTACAAAAGGTAATTATGTTACTGTATGTGACGTTTTATGTACAGGTAAAGATAAGAGGTTTCAAATTAAAATAGTTCACTGCAGGTGCCATGGCGACTCTGATTACAAGATGTCACTGTCTGACACAAATGTACTTGGTTTTGAAAGAACCACCTATTTTTGAATACCTGACAAAGGAAAATATTAATATAATCACTCCCAGCTGGGGCACATTTTACACTGCACCTAAAACACAAAGCATTTAACTGTGTAATCTGGAAAATGTCAGATTTAAAGACAGATGGTCAGGTGTTCTCTTTTACATATACTGCTGATTAGAATGAGAGAGAACAAAAAAAAAATAAAAAATTAAAATTAAAATAAAAAAAAACGTTTGGGTGCACATTTTACAAAAGCACAAGAACTACTAACAATGTTTTTTAATGTGTCAAATATGTCATTTTAATATTATTTTTTTTCTTGTGCCTTTAAAAAATATATATATTTGATTTACACCCTTCACAAATTTTGACTAGAAACTCCAATGATGTATAAATATTTGATCTCTTTTTGGATATTTAACTGAAACATTTTACTATAATAAATGTGAATTATTTCTTTACATGTGTATACTTCTGTAGTGTTAAGTCACTGGTAAATAGGTCAAGGATAATTGATCATGAACATACATGCAACAACTCTGCTAATAAGAAAAACTAATGACCAGGTCATGATGGACTTACAATAAACCTGACCAATGATACTTTATCACATTATCAGACAGATTCAGTCAGATTACACACTAAGAAAGAATAAGAAACGTGTAATAAATGTATATAACCTATATATGATAAAAATGTAATAGTGTCAGATTATGTAACACAAAACGATCTAGGGAAGTGCAAGGAGAAGGGTTAGACGCACCATTATGCAGAGCCTCTCTTTCCCTCTGCTCTATAAGCTACGAGGCCAGCCTTGGACAGGCTAAAATACCCCACTTCATCAGGAATGTGTGCTTCTTGTCTTAAAAGTCACAACACCTAAAGACAAACTCAACCAAAC